TATACACACAAGCGTCCATTTTGCTTTACACGTGTAGCGGACGTNTAATATTTGTAAACATTCTAAACATAATATGCTAACATATAACTCAGAATAAGAAAAAAATTGCACTCAGAATAAGAAAAAATTGTAGCTAACAACAAATATATAACATATATTAATTAGAAAGATACAAAAAAACTTTTTACTTTTGTCTTTATATAATATTTGTAAACATTCTAAACATAATACGCTAACAGAAAATAAAATACATTTACTGGTTGATATGTAAAAACTGAATAATATCATAATTATTATTTTAGGATTTATGCTCGAAACATTTAGCATACAGAATAGGAAAAAAAAATTCTAGCTAACAACAAATATATAACATATATTTATTGTTAGTTAAAATGTTGGTTTCTTATTTCTATTCAACACAATCTTTACATACTTGAACTGCATGTACCAAGCATAGATACTTTTTGTATTTTACACAGGTAAATTTCGTATTTCTATTTTTCCGTGACTTACATTCAGCAGATCTTCTTCTTTTTTTTCGATACATTACGTAGACAAATGTGAAGGCCCGGCTTTAGGATCTGACGGAAGTATCCTTTTTGCTGTTGTTCTGATTGTTTTCAAAAGATTCAAAATACATTTTCTATTATCAATACGTTCGCGCATTATAAGAATAGACAGTTCTTTCAAATATTCTCTTCTATTATTCAATTTAGATGTATTTTCGTTTTCTCGGTGAATAATATAAAAATTAATTCTTGCTAAATTTAACATACAGTAAAAAATGATCATAGGCCATCGTCTGGTGTTGCGTACGCAATTATAATTCCCGGTTAACTGGTCAACGGTATTTACTCCCCCTTTGGTTCTATTATAAAAGGATATTATTTCTGGCTTTGCCGCCAGTTCTGTTTTCTTATCAATTCCTTCACTATGATGTAATAATGACAAAAGCAATAAATTTTTCCTTTTTTTGGCACATAGGAGACCAAGGTGATCGCCTTAGTAAATAGAAACTTACTACTGTTTACTTTTCTATTTTTTAAATTTAAAAATTCTGCAGGAATTTCTTTTCTATTTTTTCTTATGGTACCAACTAGCGTTAATCTGTCTTCCAATAAATCTGTAGCCAAACTGAAACTCGTGAACCAGTTATCGGTAGTTATATTACCGCCGCTGTTAACTATCGGCGTAGTTAATCTTTTCACTGCACTGCAGTGTTGCCGCAATGAAATTTCAAAACGTACTGAAGCGCCTTCAAAGAATGTACTATTTTCCTTCAAAATGTACTAGTTCTATGAATACTTTGTTTACGTGCCTATATATATATGCCTATATAT